TTATGTGTATGTTGCATGTTATACAAACTCTATGCATGATCACAAAATCCACATTCACATGATTTCACATTTTACAAGTCACATCATTGCTAAGTTAGATTTATTTACACAATCACTTACACTTATCAGATGCCTCACATTTTCATAGACTCACATTACATTCTTAATTTCTAACACTATCCACATAAATCTCATCTCAATCATTAATCATAAAATTTACTTATCAGTCTACTCACATGCATTAGGCAATATTCACATAATTCAATTTTGAAAATAGGATCATGTCTAATGTGGCTTACCCTACGCCCAACGCAAAAAAGGACACAAGCCCCTAGAAGGATTACAGCCGATGATTTTCACACAGGGAGCCCCTACAGCTCCTGTGCCCAGGCGTGACAAAGCTCATGCTAGAGTCAATCAAGCTACTATCATTATGTGGTCGTCGTGGCCGATGAACCTAAGGTGGTGCCCGACGTAGTATCAAAAAAGTCTTTGAAGCACGCTCATGCAATTCTCACAACTTACAAAAATTCATGCCAAATAAGGGTATCTATGATATTTCATTTTCAATACAAGTAATTACTACATGCAATTGTTTCTTCAATAGTTGATTTATATACATTCTTAGAGTTCTCCTAGGAACCCATAGATTCATGAACAGAGATAACTCACAGATCAACCATACAATTACATGCATATATACATCAAAGGGCAACAATTACACATTTCAATTCCAAACAAGTTTCGATTTTAATCCCTCACACATGCATACATAACCTGTGGGATTGGGGGCCAATCCAACTATCCAACAAATAACTCACACCTAGAGCCTCAGCGGTCTGACTATACTGTTAATAATACCAAATCCTAAAGTAAAGTTTAATAACCATAATGCTTGAATTATGGCCCCAAAGCATGCCACAAACTTAGCCTCCACGGTAGAAGTGGCAATCACAAATTTTTTTGCACTTTTCCATTACCCCACTTCTCCAACTAAAAGAAAGATGTACCTAAATGTAGACTTTCTTGAGTCAATACATCCAGCATAGTCTAAATTTGAATAACCACTCACTTTAAAATGATCTAACCTCCTATATGTGAGCATGTAATCCTTTTTGCCTTGTAAATACCTAAGAACTTTCTTTGCAACTTTCCAGTGATATATTCTAGGATTACTTTAATATCGACCCAACATTCCTACAACAAGGCAAATATCCAATCGAGTACATGTTTGGGCATACATCAAGCTCCCAACAACTTACGCATAAGGAATAGACTCCATTTCCTTTTGTCCCAAGTCATTTATAGGACATTGCATTTGACTAAGCTTATCCCCATTCTAAATTGGAATAATTCCCTATAGAGCACTTTTCCATTCTAAATTTCTCTAACAGCTTAATTATATATCAATTCCGAGACAATCCCAACACTCATTGTGATTTATCACAAAATATTTCTATTCTTATTACATAAGATGTCTCACTTGTATCTTTCATTTCAAAGTTAATAGAGAGATATTTCTTTACACCATGTAGTGTAGCAATATTATTAATAGTAAGAAAAATGTCATTAACATATAAGACTAAAATTACAAATATGCTACCACTGACCTTAATATAGACACATCGATCAACAATGTTCTCTACAAAACATACAACATAATGGTATTTTTAAATTTAAGATACCTCTATCTAAAAGCCTATTTTAGTTCATATATTGACTTCTTTAATTTACACACCATATTTTACTTTCCTATAGAAACATACCCTTTAGGTTGATTCATACAAAATTCTTCCTCTAAGTCACCATTTAAAAAGGTGGTCTTTACATCTATCTAGTGATGCTCTAAATCATAATAAGTTACCAAAGCTAACACAATTCTCAAAGAGTCTTTGTTAGAAATTGGAGAGAATATCTCTTTATAGTTAATGTCATCTTTTTGAATGAAACCTTTGGCAACAAATCTATCTTTATACTTTTCAATATTGCCTTTCAAGTCACGTTTGGTCTTAAAGACCTATTCACAATCAACTCATTTGGAGCCTTTAGGCAATTTAACTAGATCCCATACGTGATTATGGTACATTGATTTCAACTCCTCTTTCATTGCAATTAAACCACTTTTAATAATTGTCACTTTCTATGACTTGTGTAAATGAGACAGGATCTTCATCAATACTCAATTCATATTCATGTTCAAGTGAATATACAACATAATCACTTGAAGTAGTTGGTTGTTTTATCCTTTTAGAACTTACTCTTATATCACTTGTTCATTTATGACTTGCACATTGCCTGTTAGTTCTTTACCTATATGTTCATCTCGTGGGTTTCAAACATGATCATGTTTTACTTAGGTGTTGTTTGACCATAATACAATCAGAGGAAAAACATCTTAAGAGGGACTATAGGTGAGGAAGATTTACCAAGAGTCTCTATAATATCCATTATTCATGATTTCTCACTCCCATTAAATTGGTCATTCACAATGAACTTATCATTACCAGACTCACTTATTCTTGTATTATGGTTATGATAATAAAATCTATAACCTTTAAACTTTTTAGGATACCAAATGAAGAAACCATTAATGCTTCTTGCGTCAAGCTTTTTTCATGTGGATTATGTACACATTTACTTCTGTGGGACAACCTCGAACATGAAAATGCCTTAAACTGAGTTTCCTTCCTATCCATAGTTCATAAGGGGTTTAAAGAGCTACCTTACTAGGAACCCTATTAAGTAGATATGCAATGGTCTTTAATGCATGCACCCACAAAGATAAAAGGTACAATACTATAATTAATCATAAACCTAACCATGTTCATTAGAGTACGATTCTGCCTTTCAACCACATTATTTTGTTGTGGTGTGCCAAGCATAATATATTGTTCACATATACCTCTACTTTCAAGGAAATTAGCAAATGGAGCTAGACATTATCCATTTTCATTAAATTTACCATAAAATTCACCACTTCTATCAAACCTTACAAATTTCACTTTTCTATCTAACTGCCTTTTTTACTTCATCAATGAACACCTTTAAGATATTCACTGATTGAGACTTTTCATGCAAAAGATATAAATAATGATAATGTGAAAAGTCATCAATAAATGTGATTAAATACTTTTTAATGCCCCAAGATGAAACATCAAAGGGTCAACAAATATCAATGTGTATCAATCTTAGAAGTTTATTTCTTCTTATAACAGAATTCTTTAATATTTGTTTATTTTGTTTTCCTATAATACAATCTAAACATATATTGTAGTCACTAAAATTTAATTGAAGCAAAATTTCATTTCTTATTAACCTCATTATCCGTTCTTTAGAAATATGACATGATTTTTGATGCCACAAATAAGCAGAACTATCATCATGTATATTAAGTTTGCTACTGACAAAACATTCAACATTAAACAAGGATTCTTTAAAGTTTACATCAAGATTGAAACAGTACCAAATCCATAATAGTACATATTCTTAAACATAGAAAATACATTGTTTTCAATCTTGAAACTAAAACCTACTTGATCCAACTTTGCAACAGAAACTAAATTCCCAACAAATCTAGGTATATAGAGACATTGTTCTCGACCAAAAACTATAATGCCTATTCATGTTCTTGACCAAAAACTTATGCGTATGTCAAAAAACAAAAACAAAAAAAAACATTTTTTTTTAATTTGACATATATGTCATGTCGCAATAATGGAAAACTATAATCGCATCATAGGAGTTTTTTTAAATAGGTATTTTTTAAAAAAGAAATAGAGGAGAAAGGATCTTTAACGGAGAAATGTAATATCTCTAATCTTACTTTAATAACAAATATTAGTAAACTTTATGATCACATGTAAGTTGATTGTATATATCATATAAGAAAATTATATTCTTTATAATACTTTACAATTTTTATGAAAAAATTTAAAAAATATACCTAAATTCATATTCTAATTTATAATTTTTATTTATAAATAATTACTTTTTCTCATACAGCTTTTATTTAATCTCTATGATAGTTTTGAAACATCTTTAATTAATTCTCAACAATTTTCTAATTCTCATAATTTATTCCATAAAAACAACAATCCATGGTCATAAAAGAGAGAGCATTTGTCCTTTTGTAAAACCAACTCTTAACTTTCATGACTTTTTTTTTTCAAATTATTTCTCTTTATTATCAAAATTATCCTTTATGAAGTGAGAGGAAAAAATTAATTTTAAAAATTAATTTTAATAACTTTAAAATAATCCACAATAACTCTTAATATATTTTAAATTAAACAATTATCACATTAAACATCTTTTCATTATACATTATTCCTTTAAATATTGTTTATTCCTTTAAACAATCCACAATGACTCCGAAAATATTTATTCTTATCGTAACTTAGTTCTTTTAAATATTGTTACGACAATATCAATTTTTAAATTAAAAAAACTATTCAATTTAGTTATTTACAATCCAATAAATAATAAAACTAAAATTCTTAATATATTACTTTACTCCTTTTATTTAAAAAATTATCAAATTATAATATATATATATATATATATATATATAGGGAGCGTATCAAGTAAGAAGTTTTTATTGTGAGAATGTGAGAATGTGAAAATATAACCCTTAGAGAGAGAAAATTTGAGATTTAATCAAGTGAGAGAAAATTAATCTAAGGGTTATACTTCCACCTTCTCACCTTCTCACAATAAAAACTTCTCACTTGATACGCTCACTATATATATATGTATGTATATCAGAAATGAAAACCTTACCCTTTTATTTTCTTTTAAAACTTCATTGCTACACGTACTCTTAAGTTATGTGACAAAATAAAATAAACTTTAAACTGAAATCATTACCACTGGACAAAAAAAAGCCCCAAACTAATTGTCTCATTCTCGTAAATAATTGTGGTAAATAACTTGTAAATGTAATCTGCATAGCCAAATCCCATACAGAAAGCAATATTAACAAGCAAATAAGATCACCGAAATGCTAGCATTCTCCAAAGAAAATTTATACAGCTATAATATATAACATTGAAATAACAAATGCGTGCATGCTCTCAGACGCTTGAAATCACCAAAAGAAACTTATCCAACGTTTTTAAACATTATCTAATATCTACAAATTCATGGAGAAAACTAAAGGAAGTAGAGCTGAGGAAGAGAAAAACAACTATGTATTCTTGTGGACTTTGCATGATACATTGAATCAAAGATGTCGTTAATAGCCAAAAGGGTAACCTCAATGAACAATCTGTATGTATAGAGAGAGCTAATTGAAGTTCCTTCGCTACAACAATCAAATCACATTTTTAGCCATTTCGGTTTAACAAGCTTTTTCTCAGTAGGTTTGCGTTCTTCGATAGGAGGGGCGATTTGTGTGGGCACAGCAGCTTCCGGTGCTAATTGTTGAGCCTCAAATTGCTGGCCTTGATCATTAACAACACTCAAATCCTTCAGAGACAAGATCTCTTCTTGAAGGTAAGGACCACTATGGTCATCCACAGTGCTACCACCTAAACTCCCCATCAAATAAGAAGGGAAAATATAAGAGAGTTGGTCATACTAAATTCCAAACAAGGTGAGAGTGAAACACTTGGTATCTTTTATTAGGCTATACACATCCAATGATGTATTATGGTTTAGGGTTTAGGGTTTAGAAAAATAAGTGAAGCTACTGTTATTTATAAAATGCTCAATGCAAAAACACTTAACTGCATTTTCTTGATGGAGTAGCATGTAATGATAGGTTTGGAGGGTAACACATTTCACATCTTTGCAAACAATATAGATGCATGATCAGTGCCAAAAGAGAATATGAATATAAAATCTAAAATTTCCCATATCAATTGCAAAATAAAATAAAAAGTACATCTACATTTGAACATTTGAAATGAGCTTCAAAACCCCGACCATACAAATACTCTAAAAATGAAGACAAGTAGTACTTATATAACATAATCACATAATATAACAATTAGCAAATTAGAACAAATATGAAGACATAGATCATTAAAGGATTAATTGGAAATAGAAAATTTCTGGAAATAATCTTCAGAGGATTTAGGAGTTTACTCAATTTTGTAAAAGGATTCTTTAGATAGGATGAACTTACCTTTTGGGACATTGTATGAAAAGTACACAATGGCACCGGGACAAAAGCCAGCATCATAAAAATCCTGAGACAAGTCATTTATCACCTTCTTAGGCGGAGTAGTATCTGCATCATTAAAAGTGAATGATTCATTTTTTCAAAATCATCCAAAGCAACTCTATTAGTTAGTAATTTATAATTCTTATTCAAAATATGATTCATCTTGACTATGCTAAACTAATGTCAAATGGTCAAGGGAATTTAATTTATGCTATAAAGGTCAATAAAAATTCTAAGCACCACCACTATGTTTGGGTAAATTTCAAAATAAGTACTTATAGGGAAAAAAATAAGAAAGTAAAATGAATTAGGTTTCCCTTAAGTTAAAATTAGTTTAAGCTTAAGTTAATTTATTAACATTTTCCCATTTAACTTCTCCAAAGCTAATTTTAATTTATGCATAAATTTATTTTAAGTCATGGGAGTAGTTTAATTCATTTTCCATATTTTCTTCTTATACAAATATTTCTTAAGTAGTTCATCCAAACAGAGTCCATATATCATTCAAAATTAATATCATATACAGGATATTAATATGCCTACATATATAAAATGGCTGCTCTGGCTGTGCAATCACTTTCGTGAGGAGATCAACTAAACTCTGGAGTGTTTCAGATGGGTGGAAGGTAGCCTCCAACGTGTGATTATCGGGGAAGCGTACTCTAATTATAGCCTGCAAACAAAAGACCAAAAAAACTTAATAAGTTAATTACTTATCAATCTGATTTTTTCAGCCTTCACAAATCATTTATGAATAGTGAAAATTCTTTACTTCTATACTAATTTATAAAGGGGATATCCATTTTAATAATCACCTTGATCTCTACATTTTTTTTTTTTTTAGGTTCGTTCCTGGAGTATCCACCGCCGACAGCAGTGACTAATCTCCTCGCTACGTTGGAGGCACCTCAAAGGGTGGGATAGCTGGCCCCAAGATTTAACGCGGCTGCATACACAAGGCAGGATTCGAACCCCTGACCTTGCTTAAGCGTGGATCAACCCCTACCGCTGAACCACACGCTTGGGGTTCTTGATCTCTACATTTGGTAGACCATTATACCTTTTTATTATTAAAAAAAATTAATATCTTCATCAAACCCTATACTTGAACTCAAGACTTTAAGGTTCAAAGACTAACCATAGCACTAGCTAGACCAATATATTTTTATTATTTAATCTCAATTTTTATTTTATTTTTAATAGAGGTACGAAATGTCCCAATACCACTAGTTATATTAATATGGAACTGTTGAGACTTGTATGTAATTAGTGAAATGCAGTCCATATTTAGGTTGATTTGTATTCTGATTGCTTCCTAATTATTTCATAAATAGATTGATTCTAAATTTCTAACCCCTACACTCATGTCTAAAGGGATTATTTTTTCATACGGTGATACAAATCAATGTTGTCAATCCTGGATAGTAGTGGCCAACTCCAAAAATGCCATAGCAATAAAGCAAATAGTGGGATGGCCGCTATTCTAATATAGTTTATACAAATTAAATATTTGAAACTATAAACACATGAATGCTGCAAATTTTAAACAGAGTACAAGGTGCTGGGTACAAGGTGCTGGCTGGAAAAGAGAGTAGAGTTGAAGAAAAGAGTGGATTCCCCAGAAATGAAAAGTTATGGCTAGGAATCATCAGATATCAGAGGCTGCGAGATGAGATGCCAGTGAGGAGTCCAGATTCTCTGGAGCAGAGATGAGATGGCAACATTAGAGTTAAACAATACACGAGAGCTCATTTCCTTCAAATATCTGTGGGTCGTAAACCATAATAAACAGGTGGATCAATTAAAAGCTCAATTTGTGACTAACAGATACGCACAAGTATATGGTCTGAATTACAGTAATACATTCTCCCCACTATCCAAAACATGGCTTCCATTCGCCTCGTTTTTGCCATGGCTGGCATGAAGGCAATGGCCTTTGTTTAAGATAGATATTAAAAATGTTTTCTTACATGGTAACATGGAGGAGATCTATATGAAGCAACATCCAGGATTTATTGAGACTTGTCAATAAACTATAGAAGTCTTTAAATGGCCTAAAACAATCACCTCAATCTTGGTTTGGTCGGTTTAGCAAGATTATGCAATAGACCTAATGTCAAGCTTCTACAATAACCAGAGGTGCCTTATCCTAATACAAGATACCAAAGACTAGTGCAAAAATTAAATTATCTCACCATGACCCAGGCATGATATATCAGTCAATTTTTTAACTCCTTATGACAATCAATAGTATGTAGTTGTCCATATCCTTAGTTATATCAAAGGGTCACTTGGAAATGGACTTTTTTATACATAGGGGACATACCGACATTATTAGATACTTGGCCACAAATTGGGCAGATGATGCAGTTCATGAATGATCCACTTCATGCTACTGTGTATTTTCTGGAAATCTTATAATGAAAGAATAAAAAGCAAAGTGTTGTTGCCATGTTGAGAACAGAAGCTGTGTATCATGCCATGGCTTACACCACATGTAAGCTCTTGTAGCTGAAAGGCTGAAACACTGACTTCAGGAGTAGCAGTTCTGTGAAGTTGGTCTTATAAAGGTAGTGTGCAATAATCAATCAGCTTTGTATCTCTCCTCAAACCTAGTTTTTCATGAGAGAACAAAGAATATAAAAGTGGATTGTCATTTCCTAAGTGAAAAAGGTCCTCTCAGGCATCGTCAGACTTCCTCTATCTGCTCTAAAGATCAGCTTACTAAGATTGTCACTAAATCATTCCGGTGATCTAAGATTGTTAATATATATGTCACAAGAAGGATGCATATGATATACACGCTATAGGAGATATTCTATATTATTAGAAAAATAATGTCTACATTTAGGTTTATTTATTTTTTGATTGTTTTCTGATTATTTCCGTAGAATAGATAGACTGACTCTAATTCCTAAATTCAGGGAATTGATTCTCATATTACTGTATACAAAATTGTAGTATTATAATGGAAATACAACATAACATTATTCACTATTTTCAGTCTCAAGTCAATTGGAACAATGACAACAAGTCATCATCATCAACAACAACAACAACAATAATAATAATAAAGAAGCTAGGCATTACTTTGGTTGTTCTTGACCTCCGAGCTGCCTCTTCTGCTTCTCGGATTTTTCGAGTCTTCAAGAATTTATCTAAACAAATTCAATACATTAAAGTTTAAATATCATGAAGGGAATATTATGTCTTTCAATGAGTATTATCACCCAACAATTGTAAACAAAAACAATGCATATATACAATTGCATTAAAGAAGCTAAAAGGTACAACATAATATATGTAGTAGAGGACAATATAAACAGTGTGATATGGCACTTCTAGCCTACTAATGCTGAATACAAATGGCTTACTGACCATCGATTAATCAAATTTCCCCTCATTTTTTAACTTTCATTTCTCAACCTCATTAGAATATCAATTTTTTTTATTATAACTATTTTTTATGTCAGGTAATGATGGGAATGGATAGGAAATGAGTGGAACAGGAGAAAGTTCCCCTGTTTTGAAGCTTAAAACATATAAGAGGGAAACAAAACAGAAAGGAAACTATTCTCCATCATTTCCCCTCAAAGATACAAATATCACTTCCCAAAAAATTAAGACAGAATGAGGGGAACGATAATGGAATTTTGTTCTGTTGCTTTATAAATCTTCCAAAAAAGCAGAACAGTAATATGTCTTATTCTTTCCCTTCCGTTTCCAGCTTATCCCCTCTTGCTATGTTTCACTCCATTAGTCCATTAATAAAAAAATTATCCACACACACAGTGAATTGGAGAAACTGTAGATCAATGCAAATGCATAACCTTAAATGGCTTTTTCAATATTATGGAATGATTAGATTACCTTCCTTCTTAGAAGCCAAAAGTCTGTAATAATCTTCAGCAGTAAACTCATAGAAGTCATCGGTCTCCTCTCCTTCAACACACCAACAGGAAATATAAGTTTAATCATGATATTTGAGAAAATTTCAACATATAAATATCAATAATTCAAATTTTAAATGCAAACTTTACTAGGGCCTTGGGATTGTCAAAGATAAGGTGCCATTACCATTGGATAATGGAGCATTTGATGATGAAGCAAAAGTTGATGTTTCAAAAATGTGGATCTCTCGTCCAAATCTTTCCTTCACAGCTGCAAGCTTGGCCTGGTTCAATAAAGTATAATGGTAAAGGAAAGATCCTTGAAATTAATAGTTCATTAAAGTGCAGAAGCAGTAAGCCTGAACCAGGAAAAGTTGTCAGCAGTACAAACAAATAAAGAATACATATGCATTGGAGAAATATCCACAATGCCTCATCGAAGATCAAAAACAGTAATCATTTCAGAGCTTGGTAATTGAACTGGGATTCAAATCATGATTCGGTAGACCTATTTTTTGAATTGTGAATCAAATCGTATGATGAATCATAAGATTCATGATCAATTATATAGTATATTATATACAACCAAGATACATAAAAGTAAAAATTCATGAATAATAACTAAAAACGTAAACCTAAAAGTATTTTAACATAAAGAAACATAGTAAAAGTCAAAACATAATTTGAATTAAATAAAATATTAAAATATTATATCTTTTTATTTGTATATTTAATATACTTTGAATACAGAATATATATTACAAATTTTAAGGATAATTAGATAATTAAAAAAGAAAAGATTATACCATTCGTATATAAATATTGAAACTTGCTCAAAGATATAACACGATCTCAAAACTCAGAAAAGGATAATACATTAGACTTAGACAAGCCCATGCAACGATGTCAACAAAAAAGAGGGCGGTCAACTGCAAGCAAGTGAAGGCTGAGCTAGTGAAGACAGTGCTCATTGCCTGGTATGATTGCAAGCAAGGGCAAACCCACACACCAGCAGCAGCCAATTCCCGGTCTTATCTAATATTTGGGAAAAGGAAAAAAAAATAACCTCTTATCTTCAATCACATACACAACTCAACTCTGTTTAGAGTGTGAACTGTTGTGGAAGAATCACACGATTCATGTGCGGAATGCGATGCATGCATTTCAAGTGCAATTCTAACAATTTATGTAGAATTCAGACTTAAAATTTATTTAGCACAGGATTCACGTCACCAAGCTGGAGAATCGTGTCATATTGTACTAATTGAATAGTAAATCATACAATACTGATAACCATGTTTCAGAGGACATGGAGAAGGATTTCCTCATAGATATCATTTGTGGTTAGCTGGGAGGAAGACAAAATGTATGGAATCATATATTATTTAAGCATTTGAAAAGAGCAAGTTTGAATTCCACCATTTATTAATTAAGGATTCAGTTGTGGATGATATAGTCATCATTGATGAATGAAGAAAAAAAAAAAGTAAATTTTAAAGTTAGTTGTGGAGAAAGATTTTGGAAAAACTGAATTCTGGCTATGTAGCAGTAAGACAGAATATATGGGATACAAGTTCAGTGTTCAGTATGACAGAAGGTAACAATGCTTTGGAGATGAATACAGGAAATCACATCATATCACAAGTTACACGGCTTTTTGAAGTGATGGGAAGATTGATGAGAATGTCTAACATAGAATTAAAAGGGGTAAAGGAAAAGGTTTTATGATAAATTGAACGAAAGGAAGACAATATATAATATATCTTATTAAAAGGGATAGAGAAAGACTCCAGAAAACACTAAACAAAACTTTAATCAACAAGACCTGACCTCGATCTAAATGTTTTTTTTACTGAAAATTCAGGTTTTGATAGACTCCACCAAGTTAAAAGGGACGGTGGCTGTTGTTGGTAGGCATACAATATCAAAGAATATTAAAGATACATAGTCTAATTAGCTAACTAACATCTAAAAGCCCTTTTCTTGCAATTGTATGCAAAATAATTCAAAGACAAGGCTGGTGAACAGTGAAAAAAATCTATAAAAAGTTGTGGGATTACAATCAAAATTGAAGAAAAAAAGGTAGCAAAAAGAAACATCACTAGTATTTTCGAGTTTGCCCAGAACATGCAAGAAACAATATTTGCAAATAATATTTAAATAATAATTTGAGATGAAATGGATGACTTAACATCATTAACAGACTAGTTCTAATTTAGCAAGACAGGATGAGAACTAGAAAGACAACTCAAAGAGACCAAAACAAGATTAACACTTTACAAAAGCCATATCAATGATAATTCATATTATACAATTAATGCACTTTCTTCCCCTTATTGAGAAGTACAATTAATTGTTTAGTTCTAATGTTTTCCATCAGTTAAATTTCAATCTTTTATAAATTTGGTACTCTGTTAGTACAATTCAAAAACACCAGGAAAACAAACAGACAACCCTAAAAAAAATCTTTGCTTTCCGAATAAGTAAAACAACCCACTGATAAAAAAAAACTCGCAAGAAACCCACAAAAAGAATCTTTAAATAATCAAGAAAAAGGCAACAACGAACCAAACTGAGATCGGAAAGCAAGATGAATAGATTATGAAATATACGAGGGAAAAACAAAAGATCCGGGAATCGCAAGAAAAGAAAATATTGAAACAAGAAAAAGAAGAAAAATTAGTGTAGAACAAGAAGACAAACCTTGGCAGTTTCAGTATCCATGTCGGTGGAACAAGCGTTGGTGAGCCTTCTCCTCTTCGAAGTTGGTCCCACGACCATCAGAAGATAAATGAAACACTTCTTATTCTTCAATTTTCTGTCTTCTTTGCTCTCTCTCGGTGTCGCACCTTTTATACTCGTCTTTTAGATTTTTTTTTTTTAAATCTATTTTAAATTAACAACGTAAAATATATAATAAATTTATTTTTAAATAAGTTGATAAATTTATCTTTAAATAGGGTATAAGTTTTTTAAAATTTGTTTATAAAAAATAATTTATTATTCTTATAAAATTGACATTTTAAAACAAAAAAAAATTAATATAAAAGAGACAATAGGGATGGCATTGAGCATGTGATACAAGTTTTAATATCTCGTCTCGAAATTCATATCTTATATTCATTCTCATATTTGACACTTAATGGTTATGATATTTGTATCTCAACTTCATCTTTATTGAGTTTTGTGTATACTCATCTTGTACTTGTTCATAAATTAATTAAATATTTTTCAAAAAAATATATAAAAAATAACCAAAAACATTCTAACATAGAGTAGCAATTACAAAATTATATTAATTAATTTTTATCTAACATAAATTCAAAATAGAATAAAAATTACATAAATCCTAACTAAGTATATATACCTAAAAATCTAAAAGTGTTTTAGAAATTTAAAAGCGAGGATGGGGATGGGGATGAAGATGAGGCGTGTAAGTATATACATATCCTCATATCCATACCTAAATTAATAAATCAAGTATTATCAAACCGATATTTATTGTCAAAATCGATACAAGTTTGAGTATTATTCATGAATACAAGTTTATTTGTCACCTTTAAAGACAATTCATGCATACCTATGTATACTAAGTTACACTTACACATAGGCTATGATGAAAGAATGTACTCTTTTTTTGTACTATGTGAAAAATAAAGAAGCAGCAAAAAGAAAACAGAAATTACAAGGCATCTAGCCCTACTTCACGTAAAACAAAAACTGGAGGACTCCTCTATATCACATTAATAGGCGAATTGTTAGCTTTCTATCTTGTCAATACATGCGTCATGGAGTTAATATTCTAGGGAATAACCTCAAAAGATATTTTCCAATCGTGAGCTATCAAGTCTTTGATCTTGTCAATTATGTCACCATGCTTATGTCTATCACTTACCTCCTACCTTGTTCTGCAGACAACATTGACAGCCCCAATGTAATCTAATTCACATAAAATATATTGAACCTCTTCTTGCCAATGGAACAAAAGACCTTCAATAATAGCTAATAATTCTGCTAAAAAAGAATCACCATCTACAAATGATCTCACAAGTCCAACTCTCCATTGACCAACAACATCCCTCATGACCCCTAGCAATTCTCATCATATGCGATTGATCATGCCAACTTTCATTGACATTCAGTTTTACGTATGGATAATCCGAGGGGACCACTTGATGTTAGGAATCCACAACTTGTGTTTTTCTAAATATAGTAGGTTTTCTGCATTAGAACTTGCAATCATACCAGTAACATATGGTATGGTCCAAGGTTTGCCATTAAAGGTCATGGTATTCTACAATCTCCATGACCACCAAGCAATCATTGTTAGGCTTAGAGTTGTTTGATGTAGGACCAAAGCCTTGAACCATAAAAAATAGTTTATAATGGAGAAGATTTTTAAGTCAAAAGATAATCCCTTAAACTCATAGTTTTAATGCTAACAAGCAAAACATTCTCATAGAAGAAATGTCTATGAAACATCTCTAAAATATATCCTTAAAAGGCTTATCAAATGAAATGTAAGACATATATTGTTTGTAAGACGATTGTTAATTAGATAAAACATATAATTTGTTTCATATATATTAAATATTTATCATCATTTATTGAGACTAACAATAATATTCACTTTGAATGCTCATTTCTTAACAAATCAAATTAGAAAATCGTCTCAAAATTCACAAATATGTTAAAGAGAAAAATCATGTTTTTCATTAGAACCAAATAAAAATATCATTACTTCTTTTTAATTATTGAATATTCAAAACTATTTTTAAATTATTAAATATTATCTATTATTAAAAATATTAAATAATTAAAAATTTACTGGTATTGAGGTTTATAAAATTTAATCTTAGAATTTTAATCAACTCTTATATATTAAACACAAATTTTTTACTTGTGCGAGAAGATTTTTAGGAATTTTTCTTCAACGACTATAAAGATTGTTTTTAATTTTTTATTTAATATAATTTTTATCTATCATAATTATTTATAAATTAAAAAATAATATTTTAATATGAATCATCAATAAATAAAATAACTTTTTACATTATAAATTACTTATCATAGATCTAAACTATAATTTATATGTTTAAAAATATTTGTGTATAATAATTTTTAATATAATTTATATATTCAAACATATTATATATATATATGTGTGTGTATTTATTTAAAATCAATTTTTTTCTATAGTGAAAATAAAATTTCCCTACCTAAACTAAAAATTTTAAATATAAAAATTAGATTTGATTTTTCCTAATAAAATATTTAAAGAACAATAAAAATTAAAATCAAAAGTAATTCAAATCTAAAAATTTAAAGTTTCTTTAACTTTCTAAAATCCTTTATATCCAATCATGCCAGATTTAATTCCCCCTGAATGCATAGGAACAATGTAAATAGCACGTCTTCAAATGTTCCGCAACGAATTTTGGTCTCAGTTGACAATGCTTTTTAGTTTTTGTTTTAAAGCTAGCCCATGAAAATGGTCACTATGTTAATCATCATTTCTTTGTTACCACAAAATAGAACATGGTGGTGTGCAGATGTCATATACAAGGGAACGTCTCCCTGTGAATGAAACCAACTTCCCACATGATATCAATAACATACATAGCTACGTTTCAAAAATCTGCCATAAACCTATCAAGAAATATCCATCAGGATCAACAAATTCTAGGTAAGTCCACCAAGAACAATCCAGGGAACTGAACAAGAATCTGTATTCATGCGTGGTTTCATGTCCTCTTGATCTTTGAAAATGTTCCTGTTTCAGAGAAGTAGGTGCTTTGAGTTCCACTTCCAAGTTGGTGTGCATGAGCCTGTGGATTTGTGAGCTCAATACCCTGAAAAAAGAATATATAAATAATTCAACAAGAATGCAAAACTTCAACAAAAGAAAAACTAATAATTATGGTTATTGTGCTAAAATCGTCATCAAAATGTAATCCATTATAAATATCAGTTAAATGATTGATGTGCATTAATTAATAAGATATGGCATTGAAGATATGTTTTTTCTCATATGCCATATCAATAAGATATATAAGAACATATCTTATATGCCATCCTATAATGGAAAGGAACCTGCACTGGGGGATTTCTCGTAACTGCCTACTCATGTTTAAGCAAGGGAGAGGAGAAAGGGGCATTCTGTTAATTAGAGCTGAAGGGGGATAAATCTGAGGTGAAATGGGGAGACGAGTAACCAAGAATTCAGTTGAGGGAAATAGGAGGAAGCTATCCCTAAGCCCCTCAAAGAGCTAGCAATCTCTAATTTTTTATTTTTAGATTTTGTAGTTTCTGAGTGAATCCCCAGTTTTCAACCATATGTGAAGTTTCTATCAATTCATATGTTTTGTTGCTATCTGTAAGGGAAATCCAGAGCATACCTATTGAAGAGATCCGAATAGAGGAGCTGCCAACAAAACAGCATCAAGGAGATGACTGGAGATTCCAGTGCTTGAAGGAGACAACACTTATGGATGAGAAGATAACAAAGGAGTCAAACAGCATTTCTAGACAAAAGGAATGCCTGATGAGAGTTACTACCAGCAGTTGAAGGTTGTGATAGATTGCTATCTCAACTGGCACCAGTAGTGGGATCTGTGCAATCCAAATGCAACTTAGTGCCTGTTTGTCTGCTAGTTGAAACCATGTTCGGGGATTTATGAGGCTTGTCAAAGGAGTTTTCTCAGGGTAAAAACATTCTGTCAAAAGAGGATCCAATTGAAGAGACAAACAAAGCCTTAGCTGACAGTTCGAGTGCCATGGATCAGGAGTTTCCAGCCAGAGTTCAGTCAGGATCTGCCAGTATTGGCTCAGTATGAGCAACTAGATCCAGCTTCACTGGCACTGACCTCAAACTATGCGAGTGAATACGAAGGTACAATTGTACAAAGGGTATTTGTGAAGTAGAGACCATTATCACTGGTTTGTTGTCAAGAAATTTTGGCTTGATGCACTCTTTGATTATATTCTCTATAAATAGTACAAATTCATTTAGAGCTCTTATTGGCAAATTAACTCTAATCCATAATTTGTACAACTTAAGGAATTCTAAATATATACAATTAATAGGCTGATTCTATTCCTAATTTATCCAACACATAATATGAAACAAGGATAATAATGGATTCCCTGACTAACATTTGTGACCCAGCACCTGAGCAGCTGGTGTTCAACACTTAGAAAGCCACCTTAAGTTCAGTCACCCCTAGCTTGCTTTAGTTGAGGCCTTAAGTGGGTAATTCAACAGTTAGAATGCGGACTGTTTTCGATGAACACAAGATACAGCAACAAACTCAATTAGGAACCTCAAAAGGAAATGGGGTTTTCATTGAAGATCATTCAACATGATACTAGCATTGGTTTTCTGATACACCGGAGTGGTAGTGAATATGTTTGGGCTTGCAAGAATATAATACTAGAAGTAAGGGGAAAAACGCTGTTATGATTTGCATGAGCAAGAAGCATGAGATGAAAGGAACATGTATTGGATATTTTCTTGCAACTTACTAGACAAGTGGCAGCAAGAAAGGTATAGCGGCATTCTGTTAGAGAAGAAGGGGAATGTAATTGAGACAATGGAAGGGGTAAGCAAGATTTCAGTTGAGTGGGATTTCGGAGGAAGCTAGCCCCTCAAGAAGCAAGCAGGTTCTGAAATTTTCTATTTTCAGTCTTTGTAGCATCTGATTTCCTGCCGTATCAAAGAGGTTTTCCTATCAGTAGACTTCACTAATCCCATCCACACAAAATCCACCCTTCTCACACAAATACATCTCAAATAAAAACATTGGTTCAACTACATCCCTGCCAACTTACTGAATGATAACCAAAGGAGCAAAGGGCAGGAGTTCAATTTATCCAATTAATGATTATTTCCATTATATTTGTTAGAAAAACTTATTAGAGAAGCCTTTGTATTTAATAATATTTCTTTTGTATGTCTGATGTGATGTCTTAGACTCCTAGGCCTTTCCAATCTATGTACTCAATCTGCTGTATTGATATATAATGAAAAAGAAAGCAAAGTGTGTAATACACACTATTTTTCTCAAATCTTAATATTCAAGTTGGTATCAGAGCGAGTCCAATCCCGCTCTGTCATCTGCTGCCGCCGGCCACCGTCTGCCGCCAGCCACCATCCGCCGCCGTCGCCGGCGACCAAATTCTCCGGTGAACTTAGGGTTTGGTGTGCCTCGTTGAGCGCGACCCAACCCTAGTGGTTTAAAGCGCATCAAAGTCTCCACGCGCTCCCACGCGCCGCTCCAACTGTCTAGTCCATCACGCGCGTGTGTCTCACGCGCCACCTTCTAGCCGCCGGATGTCCACCCATCGTTGTGCTCGCCTAAGCTGTCTGGGTTTGTTTCAGACCTCAGTGTATTGTTCCAATTGGTCGTTTGGGTTGCGGTCACTATTCATCTTCTTCTCTTTGTCTCTATTTCCGGTTTCCTTCTTCTCCCATGGCTTCTTCAGGCCCGGCTCTTGCTATTGCTAGTACTCCGACCATTACTACCGAAAAGTTAAATGGGAAGAACTATCTGTCATGGGCTGCATCTGTGGAACTTTGGTTTCTTGGTCAAGGACACCATGACCACTTGGAAAAGGAAGATATTGAGGGGTCAATAGAGAATAAAGCTTAGTGGAAGAAAGTTGATTTTCAATTGTGTGCTGTATTGTGGCAATCTATGGAGCCCAATATACTGGGAACACTTAGAGCCTTCAAAACTTGTTGCTCTTTTTGGAAGAAGGCTCAAAATATCTATGCTAATGACATTCAAAGGCTATATGATGCTGCACAAAAATTAGCCTCTTTGAGACAAACTAGTCATGATATAGTTTCTGATGTGGCTGAAGCTCAAGCTACTATGGAAGAACTAAAGTTATTTCTTGATGATGAGTCATTAGAAGGAATGGAGAAAAAACTTGATAGGCTATATATGGTGATGATTTTACGAACATTGCATTCAGACTTTAATCATGTTCGTGACCAACTCCTGACCGGTCATGAAATTCCCTCAATGGACAACCTAGTTACTAGACTACTCTGAGTTCCAACTGAAGCCAAGAGAGAAAATTCTACTGCCATTGTTGAAGGCTATGGTCTCTTCTAGGGGAAGAGGTGGTCGTGGAAACCGAGGAAGAGGGAGTAGAAGTGGTTGTCCTCAATGTTCCCACTGCAAAAGGATGAGTCATACTCAAGAGAATTGTTACTCTCTTCATGGTTTTCCAGAAAAGACAACAAATTTGTCCAAGTCTGATCAATCAAAAAAGGTTGACAGGAAGATTCCTGAAAATGATTATCAAGAATATCTTCAATGGAAAGCTATGAGTCAAGCTCAATCCTCCTCTACCGCTACTATTTCTACAGCCTATATTTCTCAATTAACTGCAAGTCAAAGTCCATGGATCATTGATTCAGGTGCCTCTGATTACATAGCTGGTAATGACTCTATGTTTTCTTCCATGTCTCCTCTTAAATCACTCCATCTTATTACCTTATCATATTTATCCAAAATTTCTCCCAAATGAATTGGTCAATTTTCCCTTTCTCCCTTGTTAAATTTAAAATCTGTTTTGTTTGTCCCTAATTGTCCTTTCAATTTAACCTCTTTGAGTCAATTGACTAAGTCCTTAAATTGTTCAAAGACTTTTAATGCTGAATCTTGTGTCATTCAGGAACTTGGTACGGGCAGGATGATTGGCGTAGGACATGAATTTGGTGGTCTCTACTATTTTAGAATGCAACCATCTGCCTCTTGTGTTGCTGTTTTGCCACCCAAGCTTTTGCATGATCGTTTGGATCATCCAAGTTTGTCCAAGTTGAACCTCTTAGTTCCTAGTCTCAAGCCATTGGAAGAGTTAGGCTGTGAGTCATGTCAACTAGGCAAACATGTTAGATCATCCTTTCCCAAACAAACTGAAAAAAGATGTAACTCTGTTTTTACCACCATTCACTCTAACATTTGGGGTCCAAGTCATGTAACATCTTTTGGTTTCAGATATTTTATAACCTTTATTGATGAATTTTCTCGATGTACTTGGGTGTACTTAATGAAAGATCGTTCTGAACTTTTGTCTATCTTTGTTTCTTTCTTCAATGAAATTAAGAATCAATTCGGAAAAACAATCAAAATTTTTAGAAGTGACAATGCCAAAGAATATTTCTCCTTCGAATTATCTTCATTTTTATCCTCACATGGTGTTTTACATCAGTCTACATGTCCACACACACCCTATTAGAGAAGAGAATAGGATAATAAATATTTTTATTTGTTGCCTTATTTACGTGTATTCAAATATATTTTCTTATTGTATTTTGCTAACACTTTTAGGTTAGTTAGTTAGTCTGGCTGACTTACTAACTCTTGAGTTAGTTAAGTCTATTAGGTATATATGTAGGTGATACCTCCCTTGTATCACTTTATCAAATTCACTCATAATCAATAATATTTTCTCTAAGAATTCTTTCTCTCATATGGTATCATCGTGAGCAAGGTTCGTCCTGTTTCTCCGTTGTGTTTGGCTCTAGTCTCTGTCGTTCCTGGCTCTTGCGCTGTCCACGTTCATCGTTTTTTCCTTGTCATTGGTTGCGCGATTGTCGCGCATCATTGCTTGCATTTCTTGCGCACGATTCTCCTGCTATTGCTCGCGCGATTGACACGCCTCTTCATTGTTGTTCTTGCGTGTTCTTCGCGCCTCTTCATTGCTGTTCTTGCGCGTTCTTCGCGCCTCACTGTTGCTGATTCTTTGCGCGTTCGTCGCGCCTCTGCGGTTGTGCAAATTCTTGCCTACACTGATCCAATGGCTTCTTCCTCTTCGTCCTCTGATTATTCCGCTTCGCATACCTTTTCTCAGTCCGTTACGTGCAAATTGGATGACAGAAATTTCATGACCTGTTAGCAACAGGTCACTGCTGTGATTCGCGCCCATGACCTCGAACGCTTTGTTGTCAATCCAAAAATTCCACTCAAGTTCTTGACTGTTGAAGATCGTGACTCCAACACCATCAACCCTGAGTATACTGTCTGGGACCGCAAAGATTCTTTACTCTTTTCTTGGCTGCTCTCGACACTTTCCGAGTCCATTCAGGCTCGCGTCGTTTCTTGTCGGCATTCTTATCAGATTTGGGACCTTGTATTTCAGCATTTTCACTCTCTCACCAAAGTTAAGGCTGCTCAACTGCGTCTTGAACTTCGCACGATCAAGAAAGGGACACGATCGTGCTCTGAATGTCTCCTTCACATCAGGACCATTATTGACACCTTTTAGGTTAGTTAGTTAGTCTGGCTGACTTACTAACTCTTGAGTTAGTTAAGTCTGTTAGGTATATATTAGGTGATACCTCCCTTGTATCACTTTATCAAATTCACTCATAATCAATAATATTTTCTCTAAGAATTCTTTCTCTCATACACCCCAACAAAATGGAATAGCAGAAAGGAAAAATAGACACCTTATAGAGACTGCACGCACCCTGATACTCAATGCAAATGTTCCTCTACATCATTGGGGTGATGCAATTCTCACAGCTTGTTTTCTAATAAATAGAATGCCATCTTCTTCTCTTGAGAATAAAATTCCTTATTCAATTGTCTTTCCAAAAGAACCCTTGTTTCATGTCTCACCTAGAGTCTTTGGGTGTACAGGTTTCGTCCATGATATCTCCCCTGGATTGGATAAGTTATTGGCTAGAGCTATTAAGTGTGTTTTTCTAGGCTATTCTTGTCTCCAGAAAGGGTACAAGTGTTACTCTCCAAAGACCAGAAAATTTTACATGTTTGTTGATGTCACCTTCTTTGAACAAACTCCTTTTTTCCTACCCTCTACACATGATTCTGTGACAATCCAACAAGTTCTACCTATCCCTTCCCATCTATCCATGCCACTTCAACCTATAGCCCATAATCAAGAGGTCACTCAACCCACCTTGTCTACAAATAGACCAATTCAAGATACCCCATCTCCTCTTCTCACATATCAGCGTCGAACTCGACAAATTGATTCAACACTACCTAAAGAACCACCCAATTCATGTCCTTCACCATCAGGCCCCCCTACTACGGATCCTAGTGATGGTAGTTCAGGATGGCCAATTGCCCTTCTCAAAGGTATTTGATCTACTCGGAACCCTCATCCTATTTATAATTTTTTGAGTTATCATCGATTATTTCCCTCATATTGTTCTTTTGTCTCCTCTATATCTCCTTTAACTATTCCTAAAAATGTCCATGAGGCACTTGATCATCCTAGATGGCGACAAGCTATGATTGTTGAAGTGCAGGCTCTTGAACATAGTGGTACGTGGGAGTTAGGGCCACTCCCTCCTGGTAAACAACCAGTTGGTTGTAGATGGGTCTACGCCATTAAAGTTGGGCCTGATGGTACTGTTGATCGACTCAAAACCAGATTGGTGTTGATCGACTCAAAACCAGATTGGTGACTAAGGGATATACTCAAATTTATGGCTTAGATTATGGTGATACCTTTTCTCCTGTAGCCAAAATCCCTACAGTTCGTCTCTTCCTTACTATGGCAGCCATTCGACATTGGCCTCTCCGCCAATTAGATATTAAAAATGTGTTTCTTCATGGGGAGTTGGAGGAGGAGATTTACATGAAGCAACCTCCTGGGTTTGTTGCTCAGGGGGAGTCTGGTTTAGTTTGCAAATTGCAAAGATCCATTTATGGTCTCAAACAATCTCCTTGGGCTTGGTTTGGAAAATTTAGTCATGTGGTGCAGAACTTTGGGTTGAAAAGAAGTGAAGCAGACCACTCAGTATTCTATTGTCACACTTCGCCTGGGAGTTGTGTTTATTTGATTGTTTATGTTGATGACATAGTGATTACAGGAAATGATGCAATTACAATCTCTCAGTTGAAGAAACACTTGTTTAGCCATTTTCAGACTAAAGACCTGGACATTTGAAATACTTTCTGGGTATTGAGGTTGCTCAATCAAAGGAAGGCATTGTGATTTCACAGGAAATATACTATTGATATCTTGAAGGAAACTGGCATGTTGGATTGCAAGCCCATTGATAGTCCTATAGATCCTAACCAAAAGTTGATGGCTGATCAAGGTGAATTATTTACAGACCCAGAGAGGTGTAGAAGATTGGTTGGGAAGCTTATTTATCTTACAATTACAAGACCTGATCTTTCTTTTGCAGTAGGGATTGTTAGCCAATTCATGCAGGCCCCTATATTGATCATTGGAATGTTGTTTTACGTATCCTTAGATATATCAAAAAGGCTCCAGGACAAGGATTATTGTATGAGGACAAAGGAGATAGCCACATTTCTGGCTATTGTGATGCTGATTGGGCTGGTTGTCCTATAGACCGACATTCCACTACTGGCTATTGTGTATTCCTAGGTGGAAATCTCATATCTTGGAAGAGTAAGAAGCAAAATGTTGTTGCCCGATCCAGTGCTGAGGCTGAATATCGTGCTATGGCCTTAATTACCTGTGAACTTATGTGGATTAAGCAACTTCTTCAAGAGTTAAAATTTTGTGAAGGTCATCCAATGAAATTGTATTGTATAATCAGGCTGCGATCCACATTGCTTCCAATCCAGTATTTCATGAGAGAACTAAATATATAGAAGTTGACTGTCATTTTGTTAGAGAGAAGCTGCTATCTAAGGAAATTGTCATTGAATTTGTCACATCCAATGAACAACTTGCAGATGTTATGAATAAGTCATTGAGGGGGCCTCGCATTCAGTTTTTATGTTCCAAGCTTGGTGCATACAACCTATATGCTCCAGCTTGAGGGGGGGTGTTAGAATAGCTTATTAGAGAAGCCTTTGTATTTATTAATATTTCTTTTGTATGTCTGATGTGATGTCTTAGACTCCTATGCCTTTCCAATCTATGTACTCAATCTGCTATATTGATATATAATGAAAAGGAAAGCATAGTGTGTAATACACACTATTTTTCTCAAATCTTAATATTCAAGTATATTAAGAGGTTATCCAGCTAAAAAAAACCTCCAACAAATGGGGACATTGGGGAGCAATAAAAATAAATAATGATAATAAAATAAGAAATAGATAAGTACAGATTGTGTCCATGCAACCTGGGAAGAATAGAAATAAGCATGTCAATGCAAAGGTTATTAAAATCCTCTATTCTAGCTCCTTTAATTGCCAAAGCTATCTTATAAATCTTCCACAATAGCATCAGGGAAGTAACCCACTGATTTCTGTTGCTATATTTCCTATTTAGCCTCTCATGCTTTGCAATGCTTCCATTCACAGCTTCCCATAACCATCTCTTGCTAATTTAACAACTTTTATCCTAGTTATGGTCCAAAAAGCAGGAGAGAATCTACAGAAACAGTATAAAGTGACACTAACCTGCACTGGTGTGAATGCAAGACTAGATGTCAAACCCGATGTAGCACCACTACTACCGTAATTCTTTTCCTTGAATCTGACAAATGAAAATAGTCAGTTGAAATTGTCATCATGATCGGTTAAATAAATAATTTAATAGGGGCAAGAATGATAATCAAATAACTAGAACACAATTAGACGTGTAGAACTAATTAAATAAAAGCAACAAGAAGCACTTACTTTTTAGCAACTTTTGCAGCAAGTTTGCTTTGACCAACAGACACACGAAGCTTGCCACTGCCAGCCTGACCAAGCATTCCATAGCCCTCCCCAAGACCATCTCCTATAATTCAAAAGCATAAAAATATAAGAAAATAAGAAGAGATTGACATTTTACATTTTAGTTTCCCAAAGGATTTCAATCTGTCATTATACCATGTTAGGACTTAAGTTACTTATGATGTTAGAAGAGCAATTTGGCCAGGCTCGAATGGCTTTACACTCTTACTACCCTTGTACTTTGACCTGGATTATAGACATGGACCATTAGAAGCAGAATATTTTGCCTATTGTACCGGTTTTTATACTTGCACTTAACGTTTCTAGAATTTTCACCTTATTTTTCATATTTTTCATTCATAAAGGCAGCCCAGCCTAGAATCAGCTGCCTTTATATTCTGCATGTTTGAAACATTTTGATAATTCCCTTTTGAATAAAAAAAATATCAGAATCTCTATAACCTTTGCATTGTTAATCTTACACATATTTGGTGCATCAATTATTAGTATAGGAGTAATAATTGTTAGGAATCAGACCAGGGTTACCAGAAGAAATGGATAGAAACAGCTAGTTATTCTATTCTGATTAAATAATAGAGTAATGCCAAAATCAGTGAAATCTCTAATGTAAAATACAGATAAAACACACTGAATCACAGATAGAAAATAAAATAAAATAAAAAAGTATTGTCACCCACCAATTTCCAATTTCCTTAATCAATTCTTGCTCACATTTTGCTTCTCCTCTCCTTTTCTTTACTAATAGCCTTATAGAATATCACATTCCTTTTTCCCCATTTCCACCTGCTACATTGGTAGGTGATTATATTTTCAACTCCCTCCGTATTTTTCCCTCTAATCCTTCACATTCCTCACATGGCCCACCTAACTGGGGCTTCTACCATGGAGTTTTGTGTCACTATCACAACATCATAATTATTCAAATTCTCACTACTGGATATTCTCTTTTTTCTCCTTGCATCCAATCCCTAATTACCTATACTTTTAATATAATAAATATAAATGCACAGATCAAATTAGAAATCAGAAAGCAAAACTTTGCATTTTGGATCAGGACAAGTGAAGGTGAAATTACCTAATGAACTCTCTTCTGGGACTCCAAATTGCATCCTGTTGGCTAACTTCCTCATGTCTGTTATTGCATACCTGACATAAGTATCAACAGGTCAGGAATTAAAAAACAAAAGCAAAAGGCAAAAAGAAAACAAACCCTCAACGCTGCACCTCAAAACTCCAGTATAAACAAATTAAAAATATGCTAACCTTTCCTTCATCTTCCTAAGCCGACGACCACCTCTCTTCTTTTTAGGCTCAGAATCAGGAACTGGAAGTGGTTTTGGTTGCTTAGCAGGAGGGGGCTCCTGCCACTTCTCAATTTTTTTGAGGATATCATCCTTGAAAGCCCTTCCCGTGTTTCCAGATGGATCCCCACGTATTGAATCTACTCGTGCTACAAGTGTAGACTTAGCAGCCAGGATTCGGCATGCTCGCATCCTCAAAGAAGGAGGAGTAGTCTGAAATATTTCTGTTTGCTCAAGGTAACCTACACGAAATTGAGATGTTGCCGTGGAGAACCCAGCAAGATTCTTTTTCTTGGCACCAAGAAGCTGAACATTACAAGCAGGCATCTTTGCAAGAGCTGATAGACCACCAGCTGTCCCCATGAGTTTAGCTGCAACAGCACTCCCAACAATAGCAGAAAGATTAGGTGCAATGTAGCCCATTCTACTCTCAACAAAATCAAGAACTTTCTTCTTCGCTGAATCAAGATCCAGAGCTCGATCACAGGCCTCAATTGTCTTACTAAGGACTTCTTCTGGAAGTGGCTTGCCAGTTGTAGTTGATGCGGTAACAGAGACAACCATGATAATGGCCGAAGGTAAAAGCCCTTCTAAATCAACAAGAGTCAAATCCATTTCATTTCCTATCTTCTTAACAACACGAGCATAATCTATTGGGTGATGCACCAACGACTCAAGCTCAGGAAATTTCAAGCGATACTTGTCACGAATAAAATTATGAATAATAACAATTTCATTCTCAATGTCAACTGACAGTGCATTGCAATCCACAATCAGCTGGTATTCAGGATCATCTTCTAAATCCACTCCCTGAACTAAGACATCTGAATCCTTTTTAAGCGCCTCTTCCACTTTCTGCCATGAAAAATAACTTTACCCCTTATTCCCACACCCACGTCAATTTATATATGTCTAAATAAACTAAAACACCTATACATCATAAGAAAATGAAAGTAAAAAGACAAAGAACACCATCGCTACAATTTAAACCACAATGAGAGGGACCTCCGTAGGAACTAATTCGCAGCTTAGTCAAACTGATTCTAGGTTCTACAAAAGTCACTAAAGCACACAACAGTATCAAGAGCAATGACAATGGCAAGCCTGATTTTAAATTGCAACCACGAATATGAAATCAGTGGTCCCAACAACAACAAAGGTGTGCAAAGTTTTAAAAAATGGTCTGCAACAACAATTTTGGCCACAAAGTCATGGTGTTTTTCAGGTGTCCACAACCACAATTGTAGCCCCACCAGCCGTATTTGTCACAATTTCCCACAATATCAAAGATTTATCGCAAATATGACCACAATTTAAAACCCCGATTGTGGGAAACTTTAAAATGACTTAAAATCAAATTATGAGTAACCATAACTAACCTGAACAATATCACTGTATCTCTGGGTTTTCTGCAACTTGGAAACACTGTCCAAGTCATCATAGTTGAGGTTTTCCAAGTCGGCCAAGTCGCCATCAACATCCTCTTCCATGTCTGCAGTATCCACATCGTTGTCCTCCTAAAACAAAAGGAACATCCTTATTCTAACAAAATATTTTTCCTTCAAACTTCGCAGGTTAAACTAAAAAAGGACAAAAAATAAGAAGAAGCTTATTATACTCACTGGAATTTCAGCCTCGTTATCAGAGAGTTCATCTAGGTCGGCGAGAAATGAATCAGCAAGCGTAGCCTGAAATCAAACGCACAAAATGAGAACCCCAAATGTTCATACATAGGAATTGGAATTCATATGTGGCGTTGAAACACAGACAGAAACAACATGAGACTGAAACTATGAAGAAAAGAAAGAGCGGAAACTAACCATGTTTACGGAAGATGCGGGTACGATGATGTAGTTGTGAATTGGTATCTATGGAGGAAAGTTCAGAAGAGAATTACAGAAAAATGAAGTTTGGTCCTCTTACCTTACCTGTGTAAAGAAAAGCCCGATTGAACCAATGGGTCTGGCCCATTATTGTTTGGATATGAGGCCCAACAAGAATTCAGATCATAGATAAAGCAAATGATATATAAGCCTTTTCTTTTTTAATAATGGTTAAAATACTTTTTTAATTTTATAATTTTGTTTACTTTATTTTTTAGTTTTTATATTTTAAAGTAGAAAATTTTAGTCTTTATATTTATTTTTTCAATTATTTTTAGTTTAATTCTTATACTTATAATTTTTTAATTATTTTAATTTCTATTATTGTAACGCTATCTATTTTATGTTAACATGTAAAATTTTTTAATTTTTAATTAAAAATTATAAGTATAGAAATTAGAAAGATCTATCTTAAACTATATGAATTAAAAAATTAAAAAAGATAAATATAAAAACTAATTTTTTTTTAAATTATAAGAATTAAAAGGTAAAGTAACTAAAATTAAAAATATAGGAACTAAAAAAATATTTTAACCTATATATTATTTTATTGAATATATTAAAGTATAATTTTAACATACTAACATTAGTTGTTACAAATGATGATGACTTATGTCTCTTAATCAAATTATTCAAAATTCGAATTATGATCTTAAGTATGAAATAAATTATATTAGGAAGGATGTCAATGAGATGAGATAGGTATAAGTAATAATCCTTCACTACTTAATTGTTAAATGTTTGTGCAAGTATATGCAGATATCCATATGGATATTTATTTAAAATAAATAATTGTTCAAAAACATTTAATAATATTTTTTACTAATTCAAATAATTTTTTTAGAAACAGTAATTTAAAAGTCAAAACTTAAATTATTCAAATATTATACATAATTTTATTAATCAAGATTCTTTAATTTAATTATTAAAATACTTTATTCTTATAAATTTAATTTATAATTATGTAATTGAATATTAGAGGGATACAATAATATTTGTATCCATCATGTTAGCATATAAATATAAAAAATATTCATACTTATTACTAGTAGTATCTCATTTACGATATCTATTTTTTATTTGTAGTGAAATTTTTTTACATCCCTATATATTAAGAGGCACATGTCTTTATATTATATATAAAATAAATTATATTTAGAGGAAAATATTATTACAATTTTTAATGGAAATTAATTACTTAATAATCATATTATGATTAAAAAATTTATAATTTTAACAACTGGATGTGGGAGCTACAGGACAATAATGTTAATTGTTACATAGTTATGGAATTAGTATTCTCTTTAACATGCAGCAATTTATTTCGATGGGTCAATTATTATATGTTATTCAAATGGTTGTGTATATTATTATCCAAATTATTTTTCTATAGTTATTCATCCCTCATTCGTTAAACAATACATGCAAAGAATATTTCAGATCAATGAAACAGAAAAATTATTGCGTAATGGATGATGAGGATATGATAAAATCCAAATGATCCTACAATTGACTAAGCATGCTGTTTGATCGTTTACTTTATGTTTGCAAAGTGATCAATAAAAATCTTTTAAGAATATGATAGACTATTCCGATAAATCAACTAATTATGATTATATTTGAAACATTCTAACATATTAAAGAGTCAAATTCAATTGCTTAACTTTCAAGCACATGAAGGTCAAGACAAAGATTAAATCCACATTTTGTTATTGAATTATATTTAATTAAAAAATACATCGCTTTTAAAAATAAAAAAAAAGTTTAGGACTTTCAAAATATGTTTTAATTATAAAAAAAAATAACAATAAGATTGATAAATTTTTTGTTTGTAACAACTTTTTAAACGATACAATAAACTTAAATTATAAAATTATAAAATATAATAGAGTATATAACCTGCATATATCAAATTGTGTTAAATTCATATTCTATGAATTGTATCATTTTACTTTAATACATAAATAATAAAATAATTATGGATAGAAATGTATTAAACCTTAAATAGGAAATATATATAATTTAATTTATCTTGATTTATTTAATAAAAATGTTAGGTTTAAATTTTTTTAAAAAAAATATTTATTTAAAAATGTTGAATTTGACATATAAAAAAATTTGTTAGATTTGATAGGTTAATCTATTTATCTATAATATAATAAAAGATAATATATATATATAACATTATTAATAGTATAATTAAATAAATAAACTTGTAATATAAAAATTTAAATTATCAACATTTTTATATTTTATTACATTTAAATATTTTACATTTTTTGTTCATACAAAATCAAGGTATCAAAACTAAAAGTTCTAGTAGTTACATCTTCGTCTACTTTTTTCCTTCATCTTCATGGTTGATTATTTAAAGTATTTCAAATAATGTTTAGAAAGTTTTTTAATAAGATTATCTTCTTCATTATAGTAAGTGTGTGAGTATATGATAGTGTATATAGGTATATATGAGTTGTCTCTCAATTAATATCTTATTTTTTTATTTTAAACTCTAAATTCTAATAATCAATTAATATCTTATTTTTTTATTTTAAACTCTAAATTCTAATAATAATAGAGTAAATCTTAAATCCTAAACTATTTTTTATCATACAAATTAAAAAATACTTATCATATAAATTAAACAAAGATTTGCACATGTATTTAAAAATATAATTGTTCACTTATTTAAAATTGAATTTATTGACCTATTTAATGTTGTTAATGCAAAATAGGTTTTTAAATAGACTAATTACAAAATAAGTTTTTAAATAAACTAATAGATCATGTCAGACTTTAAAAATAATTAGGCTAAGCTTATAAAAAAAAATTATGATAGATAATAGGCTAAATTTTAATTTTAATTTTAAATAAATAACATTATATTTATATATATCACACACACACACACACACATATATATATATATATATATATATATATATATATATATATATTCAAAGTCTAGCTTGACCTTAGAACCATTCTTGGGATCTATGAATGCTAAGATAGAAAAGTTCAACATGTTTCCATTGGGAAAGAATTTGGGATTGTTAAATATCATAATTCAAAAACCAAAGGCTTTTTTTTTTCTTTATTTATTTTTATTTATATGACTCCATTGACCGCATCAATTGATGAGTCTGCAATAAGATCGACAAAAAAAAAATTGATTCAAGGAAAATCTTGAGTGAAAGACCTAGAGACTATTCCAAATGGTTCACGACTTCGTCTTCTCTATAGGTTTGATGAATAGTCACAACTTCAATAAAGAACCACCTGATGAAGGTGGTAATTCGTTTCCCCTACGTCTTTCTCATCCCTTCTTTTAGGACATGTTCGTGGGTGACAAGTCAATTCCACATATGCGACCTATGGTTGATCTCATAAAACAAAATTTAGCCTATATTGAGTATGAGGATGGTAATTGCCTTAAGACAAGTTTGTTTTTGAAGATTTATGTGCCCCATGGAATGTGCTCTTGTGGTAAAGTTTTTGGGCAAAATAATTTCCTTTCTTGTTATTCGTGAGCCAACTTTCAGTTAGTGGACATTGGTAATGGTTATTATTGTTGGGTTTTAGGCTCCCTTCCTATGTGAAGAATAGGTCCAAATTGTGTAAGCCCATTATGTCTCACTTAATCAAGTGGAGAGGGGTCAGATTAGGGTAAAGAGAGAGTGACTTAATTTGAAAAACATCAACAAAATATAAAGAAAAGAGAAGAAAGAAAGTTACAGGTTGCATATCCACCAAGCAATATTTGTTGAATTACAACGGGAGATTTGTTTACCATTGGATCATGCTGATTTTTGGATAGCATGTTCATAAGATGTGGCATTTCATATTCAGTGGTTGGATTGTTGAAAGGAAGTCTGGAATGGAAGAAGAGCGTCTTGTAGTAACAACTTTGGTTTGTTTTTTTTTCATCTTATTTCTCAATTATAAGCAATTGTGCTCAGTTTTGCTTTGGTTGATTGTTGTCGCAACCCAAAAATTTCCGATCTCGCGACCTATGGTTTAGACATCCTTTTGAAAATCTCATCAATTAAGGAATGTCCGGACACCAGACTAATCCTTAATTAATGGTTTTGAAAATAGGTTCATGGAGTCGTCACCAATGTTTTACTCAAAACATTGGAAAAAGAAAAGGTTTTTAAAAGTCCAATAATGGCCTTGATAACCAGAATTGGGTTCGGGGGTCGGTTACGTGTAGGGAAGGTATTAAGCACCCCTACAACGCCCTAAATCGGTACCCTAAGATGAAGATAACATAATAAGAATTAATAGTTTAAATATTTAATCCCCTTTATTAATGATTATTTACATGAAAATTAAATTACACGATGAACCCTAAGATATCTACATAATTGCGTTTATTATAGCAATATATGAAATAAAAGAAGAGAAAGATAGAACAAGAGATTGATGAGTAATACTTCGTAGCAAGCTTTATTAGATCTTCAACTATGGAGATTTTAGGTGCTTTGCAGCAACCTTTCATACTACAATATGCCTCACAAAACTCAAGAAATACAATCAGAGAGAGAGAGAAATTTCGAGCTCTAAGGAGTCTTGGACGAAATTTTTGAGGCCTCGAGAACTGTGCCCGAACTGTCTATTTATAGACATCAAAAAGTTTCCAGAATGACCTATTCCAAAATCGGAACGGCCCGTTCTGGATCCGACCATTCTGTGTTAATTTTGTAACTGGAACAACCCGTTTTAAAACTAGAACGACCTGTTCCATAGATAAGATTAACACATAATTGGCTAGGCTGGAACGGCCGTTCCAAACAAAGGTTTTTAGGCCTTTTTCATAACTTGGAACGGCCCGTTCCAGTTAAGGTTTGAACCCTTTTTTAGGAGCTTGGAACGACCGGTTCCAGTTTGAGAACGGCCCGTTCCAGTTTAGGAACGGCCGTTCCAAACTAGGGTTTTAGGCCCTTTTAGGAACTTGGAACGGCTCGTTCCAAATTAGGAATGACCCGTTCCAGTTTTGGAACAGCCCGTTCCGGGCTACTAAAACCAA